TGAAACCCACTGTCCACAGAACTGAGTAACACTGTGTCATTAAGCATGCATTGTACTACATAATGAGTGCTTAAAAATTCAATTAAACTCCAGCTACTTTCTCCTTCACGGATTTTGTGGTTTGTTTTGTTGGGTTTATTTCAATCAAAGGCAAGTCCAGAAACATTCTCTGTACTAAATAATCTGTTCACGGTGTCGTTTTGCAAAAGTTCCTAACAGACAGTGACTATTTTATTGGTGGATGTATCGTTTATTTTATTAATGATCAGAAGTAATCAATGGAATGCTAAAAATACACTTGTAAAGAAATCTAGTCTGAAATCTGAATCTGTTGTTTGAAGCAAGTTCAGTTGTCATGGTCGGTAACATCAGTTGAAGATTGACTCTTGCCCATTGTGAAACAGGCATGGCTCTTCTAAAAAGGTCACAAATTTTTCAAATATAGGCACCATGTTTTAAATTTTGCACATACAAAATATGTTCATGTCACTCAAATTACACAATGTGGCAGTGTTAAAAGTCTGAACATTATTGTCAATTAATGGCAGAGAAAAGAGCCCAAAGCTCATGTAAGACTAACGACTGGGACAAATCCTGAAAAGAGACAAAAAGTATAAACCAACAGTTTTCCTGCTGTATGTGGTTTTGTGTGTGTATGTGTGAGAGTGCATATAACAAAAAATGTTTAAGAGTAAGTTCAGACAATAGCCCATCCATTTGTTCTCAGCTTCTTATCCAGTTTCATTGCTAAAGGCTTTGATTTTAACTGTATGTTAAAATGCAAATTCAAATCCCATATAAACCATTAGTTAGTGTGTTGACTGGTTCAAACCAATCAAAACTGAGAATTAATGCCGAATGTCTTCCTTTTAATCTACTTGTCAGCCTCTGGGTATGTAGGATACTTGACTGTCTCAATTTTCTCCTTAACTTTATACGACGGATACAGGCCTGTTCTTCCTAATTTCCTGTTGATGCCTTTTGAATAACCGTCCCAGTGGTTTCCAGCTACTCCAATTATATCTCCAGGTTCCATAGGAATTTCATCAGCAGTTCGTGGATGATGAGCATAAATAGCAATCTGGTTGTGGGCATTCTGTCCCCCAAAGTAGTAGATATCATCCAAAGAATGGAAATACGCTGAAGCATCTGGATGCAACGTCTGCATTATCTCATAGGCAACTCGACAAACCTTAGAAATAAAAACAGAAGAGAAGTCATAAATGCTATGTGTGCCTGCAATATACCACAGCACTCCACATTACACATTCAAATGTGTAACAATTGAATTTTGGAAGAGGATCAAGTTTTGGAATGTCCTGGACAAAAAAAAAACCAAACCAAAAACCAAACCAACAAAACACAAAACCAAAACACCTGCATATTTACTAACAAGAAGCATAGAATTTTGCAGCATTTTAATTAGTACTGTGGTGATCAGATTTGGTAAATAAACAGCCAAATAATTAGAGCAGCAATTTCAGTAAAAATTGAAAACATCTATATGAACACTAGCCATCCTGCTTTCTAAAATGAATGATATGTAGCCAATCAAAAGTAAAAGCAGATTCATTTTCCTTCTCTATTACTAATAAAAACTGTATTTTACTTCCCTTTGAACCCTTAGAACTTACATTTTCAAAATTTATTCTGCAATAATGAGGCTTTACATTTACTTTTCTAAAGGAAGCTCTAATTTTCACAGTCAAGCACTTCCAGAAGTTCAAGGCTTTAAAATGCTGTTAATAGTAGAACAGTGATAGAACTATGACTGTTGGCAACTTGGAAGATAACTAAATGAAGCTGAATTCCAGCAAGACAATAATTATGCTGGTGAGGAGAAAGATGCATTTTGAAGTGTCATTGTATCACATTTTGTGAAGGGAATTTTCTTCAGATTGCAAACAGGTTCCACATCAGATTTGCATTGGATCTCTTGGAGCTGCCAGAAACACAAAAGGCTGCCATTATATCAAACAAAGCTCTTTTCAACAATTGGCTAGAAAGCTCTTCTATCAGGTGTCTGATTTGGCCACTGTGACCTTTCTAACTTCTACATTACTGTATCTTTCTCCCATTCTGCATAAGCTTGATTAACACTACAGCAGACTTCGTCAATATGAAGAAACATTTGAGCTTTTTCATAATCTTCAGTCTATGTAAATATAGTAAAGTTTGATATTACTTTTCTCCATCTGAAGATACAGTGAATAGAACTTTGATCCACCAGACTAGACACGTTTGTACTTTCCTAGCTTCACTGAGAGAGGCATTTGCTTTAAAAACATAATAGATTTCCTTTTATCCCTCTCCATCTGATCTTTGAAATGACTTTTCAGAAGTAGCTGTCAGAAGATCAGGCAGAAGTTAATTATTTCAAAGTAATACAGAAACAAATTTGATTACCCATACGTTCATAAGAAGTTGTTTATTTTACAGCTTCTGTGACTGTTTTTTGATGTTTTGTTCTCTGCATGTGTGTGCACACCAGGAGGAGGATACAGACACACACTCTGTAAAACATTTTAAATCTTTTCAGCAGAAATGCTGTTTAGTGAATATAAGTGCCCTGTATACCTGATATAAAAAATACATCTCCTCTCAGCAATTGTTTCCTTTGTAGCACCAAACCTGGGGAACTAAATCGTAAGCTGTTGAGGGCAGTAGGCAAAGAATCCACATGCAGAATTACAGTTAAAGCCAGCCTCCCATTTTTTATTCATAGAATCACTTGTTGTGTGGCCTGTATATTTAATACGTACAATGCAAAACACAAAGACTAGTAAGTCCTAGAAGGAAATGAGATTATGAAGAAAAATACGTTAGGCAGAGGGAGCTACGCTTTCATCCAAATGAAGACTGAACAGACGAAAAAGCTATTTATTTTAATGTGCAATTTCATTTCTGCTACTGTGTTATGATTTGTATAACTGCCATGTGGTTTTTCTATACATCTCAATCAATGCAATGTTGCTGAAATACAGTGTCAAGGTAGCTTGCTTCCCTTGGCTCCACATCACTTGATGGGCCTAATTTCTCTACTAACAGCATTTTAATGAAATATCTATTATTCAGCTTATATCAGTATTCATTTAGTTTTGGTAGCATAAATAAGAATTAATGTAGGAGACTTCCTAAAGTGCCTTCTTCTGTTCACATATACTGTAATTTTCTCTGAATACCTCTGTAATGAAGTTTTAACTCTTCTTCGCAAGGAAAATAAAATGGAAAAAACTCAGCACACAATTGGTTAATGTGAAAGTCCAAAATCACACTGGAAATAAATGAGACTACATCCTGGTCCTTGCTTTCTTTTCGTACAGATTGGACAAAAGATGGTCATTAAGGGCCTGATTTTGCTTACCTTCAATGCCAAAGTAACTACCAAACTGTTTATTATATTTATGAAAAGACAGGGATAGTAGTTCCAATGTTAGAGATCAGAGGATGAAGTTTAAAACCCATAAAAGAGAAATCTTTCTGAACAGTGGGAAAACCTGCAACAGACGCTAGAAAAGACCAACATATGAAAATACCATAGAAGTCCACATCATTACATGACCAGCAAAACTGGTGCTAAATGATTTCTCAGGAGTTTGAATTACTAAAGCACAAGAAACCGCTCAGAATAAATTAAGTAGATGGCTGGACAAAATTCATAGTCCCAGCTATTGACAGTAATAGTCTAATACAAGATATCCTAGACTTGAGCAGAATTTTCTGCAACTCCGGAAAACCAAATATGTCATCCAGGAAACGTTTATTGTCAAATGCAGGGAGATGTAGAATGAGACTGGAGCTCAATGACACCAGGTACCTCAAAGGTACCCTCAAAGGGGGTTGTATCAGACGATCTCCACAGATCCCCATCAACCTGAATCACCTTAACTATGTCAATGTATTTTAACATATACTCTTCTTTTGAAATTACTTCAACATTTACAATTCAATTACAATATAATCGGTCCAAGCGATTTGTACCCATATTTAAACATTTTTCTTCTATGTTTATAGTCAGTGTTTTATTTAAAGCAAACATTTACTGCTTTTAATACAGCTATCTGAATACAATAATAGCAGAAAATGTTATATATTTCTTATTTTTATCCAAGACCACATAATTTTTCCTTCAGAATATGAACTGTCTGTATACCAGTGCATATGTGGCATTTAAGTCATACAGCCCCAGGTCTTGGCTGGTGATCGCCTTTTTCACTGTGATATACATTCAGTGTGCATACTTCAGCCAAATCAAACATTATTATAAAAGTGGACGGCTCTCTTACAAGCATTTCTCAGTGAGAATTTTTGCTTTGGAGTTTATTCATGTTTTCGTTTGAAGTAGCCTATATTAACAACCTGCTAAATATGCTTCAAAATGTCATTTTCATATAATCGTAGGTTAGAAAAGACCACTTAGATCATCAAGTCCAACTATCCGCCCAACACCACCATGCCTACTAAACCATATCCCAAATTGCCATATCTACACATTTTTTAAACAGCTCCAGGGATGGTGACTCAACCACTTCCCTGGGCAGCCTATTCCAAATATTTTTTATGTTTGGCTTTAACATTACATGGGTTGCACTGTTCTCATGATCAAGTGGTTCTCTAGACCCCTCACCAGCCTCGTTGCCCTTCTCTGGACATGCTCCAGCAACTCAAAGTCTTTCTTGTAGTGAGGGGCCCAAAACTGAACACAGTACTCCAGGTGTGGCCTCATCAGTGCTGAGTACAGGGGCACAATCACCTCGCTACTCCTGCTGGCCACACTATTCCTGATATAAGCCAGGATGCTGTTGGCCTTCTTGGCCACCTGGGCACACTGCTGGCTCATGTCCAGCCAGCTGTTGACCGACACCCCAAGGTCCTTTTCTGTTGGGCAGCTTTCCAGCCACTCTTCCCCAAGCCTGTAGCGCTGCATGGGGTTGTTGTGACCCAAGTGCAGGACCCGGCCTTTGGCCTTGTTGAACCTCATACAGTTGGCCTCGGCCCATCGATCCAGTCTGGTTAGGTGAACAATGAAGAAAAAAAAAAATGCATCCACAAGCATGACTGAGGGATAAGAGGCTTTTCTATACTTTTTCTGGTTTTGCTGTCTTCTTGCCATGGTAAAGTTATTAAGGATTCTGGCTGTCAAGGTCAATATATCACTGTATTGATCACATATTAGTATTAATATTATGCTTGTTACCTATCTAATTGTCATTAGAGCGCAGAAGATAAGTAATGTTTGAGGCTGTGGAAAACATTTCTTTTAGAGGTAATTTCAACTTTCCATTTTGTGTCCAATTACATGTGATCATAATCTATCGCCACCTGTAGCTGAATGCTTTCCTAACCAGAAGTGTCACCTAACAGCATATATGACAACTGTAGGTAAAAAGCACTCACTCCGTTTGATTTCAATCATATTTTGCCATACTTGAATTAGGTGGATCAGCGTATCAGTCACAAAATACTGCTTTCTGATCTTTTTTAATCTTAAAAAAGCTTCTTAAAATAGCTCTTTATGATATATGAAGTTAATATACAACCTGATGTAATAAAGACGAAAATGCCAATGATGACATTTAAATGCATCAGTTTTCTAATTGACTCCAAGTTGCCCCATCAGACCACTCAAGAAAGCAAGCTTGTAGCATATAATTATCTGCAATAAGAAGTCTCTCCAGATTACAGTGGTCAGAATTCACATTTATTGCACTGCCGCTGGATTGCTAGAAATGTAATAGACTGAAGAGAAATTAAATGTCTGCTTTCTTCATTCTTTTCCATTCCCACAATCAACTAAGGCAACCACTGACACGTCTGAAGTTTAGTAAAATGCAATGATGTGTAGAAGTGGATGAACACAAGTTCTATTAACTTTATACAAAATTAAGAAGTGTTAAACAGGTTTAAAATTATTTTTACTGATTTTAAATGACTTCACTGAGCTGCACATAAATGGATGGATACAAGCTATACATTAACTTTATGCAACAAGGAACTCTTAAACATGTTTAATATTATTGCTTGCTTATTTCATATGTCTTAATGAAGCCAGTAACTTCAACTGAAGGGAAGTAATTAACCAGTGCTTACAGTCCTCTAAATGTTCACATAGCACACCGAGCCTTTAATTCTTCCCTGAAATTTTCATGAGAGTGCACTGAGAATAAGATAAAAGGAGCATGAAGAAAAATAAAATTTAGAACTGGTACATATACTCTATATTGTATCTGTATTGCAGTTTACCTGGGACGAAAATGTGCAGACCAGGAAGTCTGCCTGAGACAAAAAGTGAATATCCAGAATAACACCTCTTAGGGAGTTTTCAGTGTATCGGTTATGCAGTCCTGCTGACCAGGATATGGAGTTGTCACTGATAAATTCGTAGTTGGGATACCTGTCAAAATACAATACACTGTTAACAGAACAGTCTTATTCTATTTTGTTTTAAGAAGTATCGTCTTTGCTGCAAGATAAGGTTGTTAACTTGTTTTAAATGAGTTTCTGCCTTACAGTGAAAGAATTCTAATTTTGCTGAACACTCTAGAATGTTACTGCTGCCTCCAAGCATGCCCTCTATTTATAAAAGAATAAAAGAAAATTAAATAAAAAGACGCTGCAACTCTGTCTGAGATACTGCTCTGTAAAATAAGTGAAAAAATATCAGGAAGTGTATGCCACATTCTGCTAATGCTATTGATTTTAGATTAAATATACTCCGATTACTTTGCTTTCTCTACTACTGAACAGAATATGGGATTGCATCTTTACTAGACTACATTTTGCTTATTACCATACTCTCTATTAGAGCCTGATTATGACATTGTGTAAGAAAATCAGTCACGCATGAAAGGAACAGGTGGAAATATTATTCATTTCAAGTAAATGATAAGACCTCTTCTGAGAAATTACAGAAGCATATAGATCAAGAAATAGTTTTTTCAAGATGAATTCTATCACAAAGATAATTTTCTTTCTTATCTTCTCATGTCTAACATTTTTGTCAATATTTAACCAGCTCTCAAAATAAAACAGATGACAACACAATATTTGTGATACATTATATTTCTGTTTCCATTGTGTGAATCATATTAGTATTTTTTTAAAAGGAAAAAAAAGTACAGACCAAACCGAAATATGTCATACTCTACTGTGAAAACTAGCTGAGGAACAGTGATGTGCATCAGTCTTACTTCGGTGACAGAACTCTGAGGGGAGCAATATGAAGAATATTTAAAAGAAGATGTCATTTCTAGGGACAGTGAACATAGTAAAGATATTTGCACACCCCTTTGCAAGTTCTTGGCACAAGGAATACTGCTAAAATTAATCACTTCCTTCAGATTTCAAAAATCAGAATCCACATGCTGAGCAGAGACAAAAGAACCTTTCTTGGAGATTTCGATTCCTTACTAGCAGCAGCCTAATAACGTAATAAATGAAGCACACACAAAAAGTGCCATATTTGATCTGGTAAAAAAAAAAAATCCTAATTATTTACACATCTTATGCATACATTTAAAATTTTCTCCTTCCTCCCTTTATTCTGGAAACAGTCTTTGAGATTATTTTAAATCTGGTCTTCAATTCCATTTTGTAAAGTTGATCCAAATTCACCTAACCAACAGTTTCAGAACTGTTCTTCAAACCAGTGATCCAAGCTTAGCATTCAATTGCTCACATGTGTAAGTTTTCAAACAAGCGCTTTTATGTTGTCCCCCCCACACAATGCTGATATTCATGCTTGGGAAAATAAGTTTCTTTAAAACACCCTAAAATGTGAGCATAATAGCAGCCATACTCAGTGTGACCAAAGAATCTTCTAGTCCATCATTCTGTCTCCAACATAGGCTGAAAGCAGAGCATAACGAAAAAAAACACTACAAGGCCAAGCCTATACTACTCTCAAACTTAGCCATATGTGTCCCACTGACTTCCTGCATCAGGGTTTAATTATCTTTCCCACACACTATAGTGCTTTAGATTCTATTTAAAGCTATTCTCACCACAATGACTACAAAGAATAAAAGACATGACACTTCTAATGCTCTATAGTTAGCTCTTGCTTCCTTCTATTCCCTCTTCCATCCATATTTAAGACTAATGTAATACTTACATTATAAGCTTTTGGGGAATTCTTTTTCTTTTTAAGCAGAACTCAGGCATGATTCTACTACTAGGATTCCTGAATGAGTGGTAAATGAATAATAAATAATAAGATGTCCTATTCTTACTAACAGAATCACCTAAATATGGTATTTTGTAGGATCCCTTCTAGCTTTCCCAAAAAATTACCCACACATTCTCTTCTCTATAACAGGAAAGGACCAGAATTTGAAGACAAAACCAAGGAGTGGAAACTAGCATAATACTGTTTTCTTTGCATCGGACTACATATATAGTGTATCTCCTCCACATAGCTAAAAATACTGTCTAATTCTTCTAAAGCTACCTAACAGATTGTTGAAACCTATATGCAGGCCAGGAAGGATATTTTTTTTTTCCCCTAGGAGAAAGGGAAGATAGGAAATCAGAAGAAGATGGGAAAGAGATAGTTTAAAATCTTTCCTTCCTGCACCTACCAGCCTCAGAGAAGCAAACCAAGCATAGTTATGAGACTGTTTCAAGTTCCAATTAGTTTCAGAAGCTGATCAGCTCGCTGTGTAACTTTAGCTTATCACTACACTGTGCGGCAGGTGCAAACCAAGGCAAGTCCCAGGCTCCTGTTCTCAATGCGCTAGAACTGAGGCAGTGTCCAGAACAGGCAATGTAAGTTTTCTTCACTCTAAAAGAAGAGTGTGAGCACGCATGTAAACAGACGGAGTAAGAAATAATCTGTTTGCTCAGGTCTTGTTCTAAAAAGAATTGGAAAGTGTATGAGCTGTTCATCAGACTCAAGAACTTTGAAGAACTCTTGAATTCTATATATCAGGCATACTATGACTTGGGCACGGGGAGGGCTGCAACAGCTAAACTACAGTGCACAGAGAGAAAAGACATTAAGTTGCTATTGTGGAAGTAAATAAACAGTGAAATAGGGTAGAAAAAAAAGCTTTCATGAGTGCTCAGAAAAAAGCCTCATGAAGGAGGCAAAGCACTGCAAAATTTAAGACACAAAATATAGATGACTTTACAGGTAAATATCCTGAAAGGAAGAATGTAATTTGTTGACTTTCACTGCTCACATACATAAGAGACCTAAACAAATTCATATATAAACCAGAAAGGTATTAAATATGGTTTCTTAAGAATTTATGTGCATGTTTAGCTGCATTATTTTCAATACGCTAAAGAGACAAGATGCTGTAAATAATATTATAGACTAGAAATAGATATACTAGAAATTCAGGAGTTTGTATTTGAAAACTAGTAAATAAGCTGAAGAACAAGCCATTTATACCATCCCTAACACATCACTTATCTAAGACACATACCATGACCTCTGCTGACCAGAAGTCATGAAGTGCTTTAATCCCATAATGATTACAGCTGTTGAACACTCAACCATGCTCCTCTCTAATTATGTTGTTCTATATCATCCTAATTCTGAAAACATATAACTTTTCTTTCTTTCTTCTGGAAAACAAAGCAAAAAAACTCGCAACAAACTGATGGTACTGACTCCACTTTTACTACTGTACTTGCAGTTGGCAGACATCTGACTGCAAGGGAAGATTCTGAAATTTAAGTCAAAACATCTCTGTTTTCACAACTATGAATAGTTTGAAATACTTCTCTTAATAGAAAGAACATGCCTATTCATGTGAATGTTGGCTAAATTTTTGTTATTTAGATACCAACATTGTTTGACAGCCAATCGCTCTCATGTGAGGAGAGATATAATATCTAGTACTTATTAATATCACTGCACCCAGTAATGAATGCAACATAAGCTACTGTGGTACAATATGACAGCTGTTTCTATCAAAGCTTGGTAGTTCAATGTGACTAGAATTTTTTTGTCAGAAGTGTAAACTAATTTGTAGTTTTCTTCAGAAGGGGAGGAAGAAAAGGTTCTTTATTCCCAAAATCCGACCTTAACCTGCCTTCGGATGCCCTTAAATGTGGAAATATCAAATTGCACCCTGCCTTCTGTGAAATCACAGGAAGTTTCAAATGCCTTCTACTCAACTGCAAGCAACAGTAGGGTGCAAGAAACTTGGGAAATTATGTTTCATTGTAAACTACGACCTGACAACTCAGCAGCAACACAAAAAAAAAAAAAAAAAAAAATCTTCACTACTTACAGATTCTATGGCTTTTACTAACAAAACATACAAACGAATGTTGTACTAGCGACCAGTATCTTACCATATTTCAGTAAAAGTGTGATTCGGAATGGACCTTGAACTGCCACAGAAACTGCAATGCTTAATAACACTCAGCCTTGCTTTACTGAGCAAGTCACAATTCTACTATTAGCTTTTGTTGCTACTCAAAACTATGTTCACATAAGTAGTGCATCTTTTTATTCACAAAGCTAAAGCATACAGTGCTAAGGATTGAAAGCTGAAATAAAAAAATGCATAACTAAGACTGTTAGAGCAATATTGAATTTGCTATGTTACAAACAGTTATTTAGGACAATGTAATGAATTAAATATTATAACCTCGATTTTGTATTACCTGTCATTTCATTGTTCAGATTTGCACTTTTAATGATATGTTATCGTAATTGTTTCTGCTACTGTTCTTGTCTCTACATATATATAAAAGGAAGGATTAGATTACCATCATCTGGAGTTGTGTATGTTCATTTAGTTTTTTCAAAACTCCATAATTTTAAACAGCAGCCCTTTATAGATATGAAAGAAAAATAGAAATGGCACAATTGAAATACATAGGTTTGCAATGCTGTAGAAAATTCCTCTACTACAAATTAGTATTTTCTACTCACCTTGTATATGCCAAAGCAAATTTGTAATCCAGTATGTTATCTTATGTATTTTTCCAAGCATGTCTACCACGAATAAAACAGTTCAAAAATTTGCCATTTTTGAGATACCTTGATTTTGAAAAGTATTCATTTCCTTGCTTAATTAGAAAAATACGCATTTTTCTGCTCAAGGGAGATAAAATTTTGCAAACAGAAATAGGTTCTATTACGTAGACAGAGAAATAAATAGTACTCAAAAAGAAAACATGTTAACTTGTTGGAGTGGGAAGCCGGATCGGCAGTAACTATATAGTCTCAATATGAGTAAAATCGTTCTCCTTTATTAGTCAGCAAAACAGGGTTCATACAGCAAAACAATTACAGCCTCTGATTGGTTAGTTACCCTTAACCATATATGGGCAAAATTGCTATAACTCGCTGCGATTGGTGCAGAGTTTCATCTCCATGCGGAAGCGACGATAAGGCAGGAAGTGGCGAGGAGGCAGGAAGCGGCTGTGCGGCAGTCCCCCTGCGCCAGCATTCCACGTTCGCCACTTTACTTTCTCAGCAGTGTTCCGCATTCACTGCTTACCAGACCTATCTCCGGTACAAAGCCTGGGTTGCTCAACGGCACCAAACTATGTCCCCTCTCGCCCAACCAGGACTCCACATTAACTTGTATTTGGTAACAAATATGCTTAAATTCAATGCATGTGAAATGCTTCTCCAAGTTTCCATAGTCATGGCAATAAGCATTTGTGAAATTGTTTATTATACCATAAACACCATAACCCAAGAAAGATACAGTTAAATATGGAACATTATTCTTCCATATGCATCTGCTTTCTTTTACTAGAAGGTTTTACCATCTCAGTGACACCTTGTAAAACATGCAACTTAACAATGAGTTTTTACATGAAAATACAGGCCACGTTAGAAGGAAATGGATGCATACTCTGCATTTCCAGGTTTGAACACAGTTACATGTTCTATGACAGGCTGGGATATCCTATAGCTAGGGTAGGTTGTTACACCCATGTTCTGGAGATAATGTTACAGATCAAGAATCCCACATAAATTAAGGACAAACTTTAAAATTATTCAACATGGAGGGTGACAGTCTTCTAAGTTGTCAATCCAGAAATCTTTCTAAAAGAGTCGCCAGGAGCTTTTCAACCAACTTATAACAAATTCCCTAGCAGCTATTCACAGAAAGGTACTGTTTGGACAGATGAAACTTCCCAGTACATTAACTAATTTTTACAATATTTCTGAATAGTTTCTCTTTAATATGTATGTTCTGTAAGAAGTCTGGAATATTTATTATTTATATTTTTACTTCCCTTTGACAGCATTGGTTTGTTTTTAGTCACAGGTATCTTGCTCAACTCTTCTAGATTTTTAACATTAAGCTTTGAAAAGCATACTTTGGAAAAAAAATTGTCCAAAAAAGAGACTGAGAGAAAAACCAAAATCACTGGAAGCTGAAATGCAATCTTAACTGAATAAATGGTAACCAGAAAAATAAGACAAAGATTTGTGCACACAATAGTCACAAATTGTAAAGCTAACCAAAAGGAACAAACTGTAATATAAAAATAATTCATCTTACTTGGATTTTGCCTCTTGCAACAGTGAAGGGTCATCTGTAGCCAAATACACTCTTTTCTTATCAACACGCATTCTGCGAGCAAGAAGTTCAAACC